TATTGTTGTCTGAATGGCAATCATATGATGGACAAATGTTTAGCATGTTTTCATGGAATCGAAAGAGGTTGCTTTGGGGACAGAATCAGCAAGAATTTTCCCCTAAACCCAACTAAATGCCGGCCAAGAGGGGTCTGCCTTCGTTTTTTTGGTGGGATTGACCTTCGAATCACTTCTTCAGTCGCTTTCACTCGAAAGCAAAAATGAGTTAAACAATTATAAACCAAGAGATTCACCGAAACCCAATTTTTCTTCGGTTTATTCAAGGGCTCCTCAAGTTTTTGCCTAACCTGAATAAGGCGTCCAATTCTTCGGCGTCTTGGTTACGTTCTGATGACCTGTTTCTCTTATCCACAGCATTTTTACAATCAATCATCAAACCGACCACGTCCCGAGTATCTTAAAGCCTCCTCCCGTAATAACCTTGAGATAAAAGCAGTATTTATCCTATTTCGTTTGAGATGATGAAGGATTGGTAATTGAATTTTCCCACAATGATATGAGGGGACCTTACAACTTCAGTGAATTTCGCAAGCCTTGCTTCCAAAAGGAGGACCCCAGTAGACTGGTCTAAAATCCAACGTTTGGCAGGATATGTAGACTTCAAGATTGAGCAGAAGAGAGAGCAACAAGAGCCAATGAGTCAGAGGAGAGGACTAAATTAACCTAAATTCTATTTTGTGCTCAAACTTGTCAACTGACTCATAATTATTGCATACACACAATACATACTAGTCCAGAAAGTCAAAACCAGCATCCATTTCGCAGGATCATACGCTAGTTTGTTTACATAAAAGCAAGGTCGAATCTGTAGTCCAGTCCAGTTTGGATGAGAACACCCTTTTGGAAGCAAGGCTTTATGAAATTCAATGTAAACGTAAGGTCTACTTTTATTATCGTGGAAAAATACAATTAAGCATACATTATAGCACTGAACGAAATTGAGTAAATACATCTCAAGTTATGGCTTGTCTCGAAACTGATTCATCGGTACCCGTAGGTTCGTGGCGAATCACGTTTGGGGTGATTATGAGACCTGGGCAAGTCAGAAAACCTTTTGAAGAGAAGGTTAAGAGAAATAAGATTGTATGCTGAGGCATGCTCATTTAATTGCGGGAAATTCAACTCATTATATCTCTCTATTGTTCTACGCGACCTAGGGGGACTACAGCTCTTATTCAAGAACTACTGTTAATCTTTAAACTTACTTACCATGGATACAAGGGTATTTACATGTTTTAAAACGAGATGGAAATTCCAAGACAAGAGTAGCATGCGTTATCCTTCAAGCGTCGATCTGTTGCCTTTCAGGAAGATCAAATTCATAATCATACACACTTTGATAATCAGTACAGTGTGTTTCTACACTTTCGTTCATTTACGCTGGAAATACGCTCCCTATATTAACTTACAAGCCTGTTGCATGACACCGATCTTTCCTCCTGACCTCGATACGAGGCATCGTGCGCCAACTTCTACACAGCCACATGAGCTTCATTGTGTTTCTCCTGTTCCTCTCAACACGGACTGGAAAGGGCGTCTCCTCTCTATCTGCGCCTTCTCTCCACTGTCTATTAAGTCAGTATCCGGCGTGTGGACATGTACTTCCTCTACACCCTGGTCTGGCCTCCAAGACGATGAACATTTGACGCAGGCGTCCCAGGGAGTAAATTTAATGCTCACCTGATCCTTCCAGCTCTTGTCTTTGACTCCACCTTCGGCCTTTAAATGGAGCGATTGTGGCAACATTTCAGAGAGTAGAAAGATAATTACTCAAAAGGTCCACAGGCCAGGATTGAGTGCACTAATTCTATTTACAGAAACTTAATTTTACATTTTTACTTGTCGTTTGTGAAAATACGCGTTTTACTCGATGGATCATGCTATTTGAAGGCATACTTATGCTCACACAAGTAAAGAGATAATCTCATATTAAACTCTTGTTCCAATGGTTTCTTATATGCCTAGAAAACGCGTCCAACGTCAAAAACTATGTAGCTAAGAAGTTCGTTTGAGTCTCTAGGTGACTTAAGAACTGACAGCCGACTTTTTCCACGTATGAGTAGACCTCATGATGCCATTTAATTGCACTTAGCCTTGTCTATAAACAGGTATTCTCATTCAGGGTGGACTGAAGTTCCTATCCCACCTGGGTCTCATCAGCGTCATCAATGGGATTCGAACTCTGGTTGTGAGCATTTTTTGTAACACATTAACACTTCGTCGCACAGCTATGTTGAGCAAACAAGCCGATGTGGTCTTCAATTCATGCCAGACCTCGCCCAAACCAGATTTCTAATAGGAGTGTTGATGAGGCAAAAATGTATATTCCATGGCAGTCGACGAATTTTTCTATTTTCGAAGTGAGCACATCTCGAATATAGCATTAAATTAATTAATAAAAAATTAGAACTAGATGTCTTAAGGTGACTATAAGACTGATATCATCTCTACTTTTTAATTTTTCTGTTGAATATGTTTAGACCTGAGCAATGTTAAAAGTACAGTCTGGATGAATATTTCGGTAGAGAAGGCTGAGTGGATTTTAATATCACTGTCGGAAAAACTCATCTGCCACTCCCTAAACTACCTAAAGCGACCTAAAGATGCTCGTTGATATATTCAAAATATACCCAAATAAAAATAAATATGGTGACTGTGTTGAGGGTGCTTGGTCTATCTCCTGCCTATCAGCATCAGCTCAAATTTCTCAGACAATAAATGTTCGATGGATATGGTGAAAAGGATGCGTAACATCTTATTTGATCGCAGTCTCTTCTCGATTCAAAGAGGCGTTTTTACTTCTTTTGCCCAACCACAGGGAAACTCAGAAGACCACTTCTCATGCCGCCTCTTCCGTCAATGTTTTTGTGTGTTTTTCATGTATTCTACCTTTGAATGGACACATTCTCAAACATTAAGCAGGCATCATAGTTTATATCTGGATCAAGCAATGTCAGTCTTAGCACCATCGACTAGGCTGTTACATATAGAGTACATGACAAACTTTGCAGAGCATACAGTCAAATCCTTATTATAGAAGTGACTAAGGTAAGATTGACGGACCGAGACGTTATTCTACATGGGAAAAGTAGGCCATGTTAAAGCAAAAAGTGGCTTTAAATGCTTCCAAGTCAGGTAATCGAATTTATCAAGAAGAAAAGAGCAGAGTTTTTCAGCATATCATTGAATTCCCTTTGGACCTGTCACCAAAAGGCCCTTGGTCCAGACTGGACTGCAATCTCGACAGCGTCTGCATGTTAATGCCAATTAGCTCGATGACGAGTTGTATTAGAAATTATAAGAGGAGCTTCTCTTAATATTCATTTGGGATATATTTTGATACTAGTTATAGATGTTGAATATAATTCAAGTGAATCCCACTTTTACTCGCCTCCAAAAAGATATTCTCATTCAGGATGTGCTGTTTTGGAGCCATGTTACACAGACTCAACAGACTTGTAATCCTAATAGCTCTGCCTCCATATACTTGCATAACCCTTAAGCGTCGAAGGTTTCGAAAACATTCGTAATGGCCCGCATATTTTGAAGGCTCATCAGCCGGCTGAAATAATAAATTTCAACATTTTCATAACAATTCTTCTGCTCTCCGCATACTTTACTCTTACAGGGCGCCAAATTGGAGTTGGACATGTTTTCCACCTTAATCTGGCCTTGCCAACAGGAAACCTTTCTCCTGGACCCGCATATACTGTTGCTCCTGATGAGCTATGGTTGGTATACTGTCTAGTCGACTGCTTCAAGATGAATTGGGACAATGGCCTTTGGGTTTACATTTACTAGGTTTTTGTATAGCCATAAAAAAATTGATAAGAATTCGTACCATACGTACCTAGTATTTGCGAAGAAAAGTTGGGTTTCAAGGAATCTCTTGTTTCATAATTGTTGAGCTTATTTCCATTTTGAGTTAAAGTGTTTGGTGAAGAGATTCGAAGGTCGATCCCACCAGAAGACGACAGTGGATTTCTCTTAACCAGTTGTCGATTGGCTTTACTGAAACATTCTTGTTGACGCTGTTTCCGAGGTAATCTCCTTCGATTCCGGTTAAAACGTGCTAACCTTTTGTCCGTCATATGACAAACATCATCAAAACATGCGGTCATCCTTACAACCAACTTTAAGCTAACGAGTCAAGAAAACCCACCAGCTCATCCCTAAAAAGCTGTATATATACTCTATATCTGACCTTTATGATGAGGTATAAAGTAATTTGGTTAGTTCCAATCATATCCCAACCTCGGAACATGTGAGTATGTCTGTATTTGCATATGTACGAAACCAGCAGTGATGGCTCAAAGTAATTAGGACAACAAGAGTAACGTCTGTGCTCAGCCATCAAGGTTTGATGACCTTCATCATCACTTTTTTTCTATAAATGCTTAAAGCATCACTCTGATTGTGCAAGGTCGGACATACGTCTGATTGTGTTGATGAGCTTTTATTTGTCTTAATGTGAGAGAGAAAGGGTGATCTAAAAGTACAGAGAAGTGACTGTGATTGTAGCCAAGACAAGGAAAGACTAGTTACCTAGT